GTTGAAGCCTTGGGAAACGATTAAATCAAATAATGGTTCTAAGAGTGCAATGAATCGAGAAAATGCAAGACCCAAAAAAGAAAAGAAAGACAAATGGAATAAGAATCGTCAGAGCTAAATGGAAAGCAATTAGAGTTCATAGAAGAAGAAATGAATTACGATTTGTGCAAAGAGTGAAAATATGGTAAGGATGATGAGCTAACTGTTATATATTAGGGTGGGACATGTAAATAAATGGTCTAGAGTAAAATAAAATGGGTAGATGGAAAACAATGATGGGATTTTCCTTAATATCATATTGACACTCGAGTAAACTTAAGCACCCTAAAGGGAATCACCCCACCCTAGTATAAGAAACTAGGGCCACATGTAAGAATAATTCCGCAAGATATTTCAATGATGAGGCTATCCTTTAATACACTTGTTTCCAAGGTCATTCACACCAACTCCCAAGTCTTCCCCACTTCTCTAAGTGTTTGACCCAACAAAATAAACTTTACCCAATTTTATTAAAGACTTCCTATTATTGTGCCACTAAAGCCTTAAGGCAATTGCTCTGGGTCAGACCTTGGATTAAAAGAAAAAAGTCTTATAACCAATCCTGAACACTTCACTAAAGCATCTAAGGTACAATGTAACTATTATCTGGAGCTCAACATTAGATCCATACCAGGGGCTTCTGCCCACTATTAGATATCATCAAATAGTCTCCCGCATTTTATGTCAAAATGGTAGAAAACCACCACAACCTTCCTTCATATATAAGATATCTCACTTGAAACTTAAAGTATTATCTCTCTAATCCATAACTCATTGTACTCCTTATTCTCTTATTAATTTAGGTGTTGGAGTATCAACTTTGCAGATCCACGCCATTATACATTAATTATAATAAAGTTTTATTTTTATGTGAAATCATTTTTAAAATATATTTTTTAATTTTTTTTTTAATTTTTAAATAAAGATCTAAAATATTATACAAAATATTTTAAGAAAATTGCAACAACATATCTATAAACTACTTCAAAGTGATCCGGATGCTCTTAGGGTAAGTCTCATGTTTGATGCTACACTAATCTTAACTATTCATCCATTTTTTCTCTTTTTAAAATTTTTATTTTAGTCAATCAACAATTAAATTATAAAATGGAGAGGTATCCAAACACCCATATGACATAATCTATTTTTATTTGAAAGAACTTATACACGTTGTAGAGATTTGAACTAGTCATCACTAAAATTATATCAATTTAATTAAATATTAAGTCTAGTTTAAAAATACATTAAACTTTTTATAAAAAAATGCATCTATGTAATTTGTTAATTTAATACTTAAAAGATATTTTTAAAATTGACAATTTGGTCAAAGAAAAATACTCAAAATAAATTCCTCATTTCAAATTTAATTAAAAAAATGATAAAGATCAATTGGGCTGTAAGTCAGGAGTATGGGCCAGCCCAGACTATTCTCTGGATTAGGGTTACCTTATTAATACAAGCAGCCCACGTCGTCACTTCAGTCTTCAATCCCCTCATTTTTGCGCCGATAGGTTTCCGGCTGCTCAATTCCTAACTCACAACATGGTTTGTATTCTCTTCCTTCTCTAAATCCCATTCCTTTCGGTTTATCGGTGTCATTTGTTAGTGTTCATCGAATCACAAGATTGTTATTCGATATATGTTTCTGAAAATTTCTTTGTAGCTTTATAGAGTCTGATTTGTTTTAACCCTAGGTTGAACTTGACCTATGTATATTTATGTGTCTGAACTATGCATCTTTCGATGGTTGGTTTTGTGACAGGCGAGAGGTTTGAAGAAGCATTTGAAGAGGATCAATGCCCCCAAGCATTGGATGCTTGACAAATTGGGCGGTGCTTTTGTAAGTGAAATCTTTCAATTTATTTTTAACTAATTTTGAACAGAGTTTGAATTTTGGGTTAGGCTGATTTTTTTGTTCTATCTGAAATTTACAGGCTCCTAAACCCTCATCTGGACCCCACAAGTCGAGGGAGTGTCTTCCACTTATTCTCATCTTGCGTAACAGGTTGAAGTATGCTTTGACATACCGTGAGGTTATCGCCATTCTCATGCAACGCCATGTCCTTGTTGATGGCAAGGTCAGGACTGACAAGACCTATCCAGCTGGATTCATGGGTATGCCACATTTCTTTCAGTTTTCAGAATTAATGTTAAATTCATGTTTTGCAGTTGGAATTGTTGCACAAATTTATCTGGATTGAATGTATTGTGGTTTTGAGGTTTATTAATGCTAGAATTTTTCATCCTTGATGATTTCTGATTTACTGAAGTATGGTTTATTGGTGCCTGAAATTTGAATCAAGAAGTAAAATATTTACTGGGTTCATGGATTTATCTTTGACAAATAAAGGCTGTTGTATCTTTGATTATTTAGTATGGAATTCTATGTTGTAGTGTTTATAATAAAACCATTCTTAATTTTCTATCACTGTAGAAATCTGCATTTTTTTTTAAAATTTTACTCGGCTTGATTGCTTTGTAATATTTTGTGCCTCTACAGATGTTGTATCTATTCCTAAAACCAATGAGAACTTCCGTCTGCTCTATGACACTAAAGGCCGTTTCAGACTTCACTCTGTTAGGGATGATGAGGCGAAGGTATGTTTATTTTGTATTGAATAAGTTGTATTCATCTCTGCCATTGTGTAATAATCTGGCATTTTATATAATAGCAAACTGTTGATTTTGTTTTTAATTTTCTTGTAGTAATATAATAATAAACATGTGTTGATGATAGTTTGTTTTTTTAGTTCTGTATTTTTCTAATTTTACATGTTTTTCTATATTTTGGACACTCGTTTTACATGTATTTGGTGGATGTGGTTTACATTGCAGTTCAAGCTTTGCAAGGTTAGATCAGTTCAATTTGGTCAGAAAGGTATTCCATACCTGAACACCTATGATGGTCGCACCATCCGCTACCCAGACCCTGTCATCCGGGCCAACGACACCATCAAGCTGGATCTAGAGGAAAACAAGATTGTCGATTTCATTAAGTTTGATGTTGGCAATGTTGTTATGGTTACTGGTGGAAGAAACAGAGGGCGTGTCGGTGTGATCAAGAGCAGGGAGAAGCATAAGGGAACCTTTGAGACCATCCACGTTCAGGATGCTACTGGTCATGAGTTTGCAACTCGTTTGGGCAATGTGTTTACTATCGGTAAGGGTACTAAGCCATGGGTATCTCTTCCCAAGGGTAAGGGTATTAAGCTAACCGTTATCGAAGAAGCTAGGAAAAGGGCTGCTGCAGCTCAACAAGCAGTTGCTGCTTAAATCTCTTTTGAATGAATTTATAATAGACTTGAGTGTTTGGTAGTTTTATTGACGCTATTGGTTTCTTTTGCATTTTGTCTGAGATTTTATCTTATTGAATTTTGATTTGTTGCTCTATGCAACTTTTGTTGTGTCTGCTGCTTTATTTATTCGTGAAGGAATATTTTCACTTGGTTGTTTTGAATCATTTTGATAGTACATAATCTCTATAGCCAATTTGCTAGTGCAAACCAAATATACTTGTCATACTGAATGATTATGGTAAACTTGGTAGTATCATAATAATATTCAGTTGGGTCCAGACCCTTCTATTGATAGAATAAGAAGAGAGTACTAACTAATTTTATAATTATAAATAGACAACATGTTTATTTATGAAAGTATATAGACATGTTTGTCTAAAACAATATTATGTAGTTGAAAAATTGAAAAGTTGTTTTGAATCATCAAACCGTCTCAATTTGTTTTTCACTGCCTTACGTCCCAAATATTGACATGGAATGTTGCAATTCAGTTCAGATCTCTATGGTTCTTGGAACTACATTTACTCGTGATGTTGAAGGAATAAAGATTGACGACTCTTATTATAAATAGATAGATGGTTGGGAGTTTGAGACATATGACAGTCGCAATGCCAAACTTAATGTATGTTGTCAGCCTCATTAGTAGGTTTATCGAATAACAAATTGAACTCCATCAAGTAGTAAAAAAATACTTCACAATTGAAAGACATTGTTAAATATTGTTTGTTCTTTATGAGGACTTAAAGGAATGAGCTAGTTGATTATAGTTAGTGACTGTTGGACAAGAATTTTTAATGGATGTTAATTTGATTTAATTTGAGATATTCCTTCTTTGTAATGTTTAGTTAGTACAAATCTGAAGGTTCTAACTATTTATTGATTGAAATAATCTGAAAGGAGGTGGTGTTATTTTTTATGCCATTACGAGTCCAAATTTATAGCATAAAACAACAGTGGTGGGAAGAGTCCAAAGTGAACACCATTGAACAAGAAATAATAAAGATAGGAAGAGTTCGAACTACAAATACATTATGCAAATAGCAAAAATGGAAAACATATCCTCTTCTGCTCCCTCTATCATGTTGTTTTTCATGCTGCTCCAATCTTAACCATCTATACATTAATTAATATTTAATGATTTTTTATATTAGACAAAAATGAGTGGCTGAGATGGAACAGGATCATTCAGCCACTACAGAGGATTCAAGTCCGCAAAAATGTAACAAACATTTAACAATAAATTTAACTCCTTGTGTGAAAATGCTTTACGGCACGCATGTAGTTGAATTCATGCTATTTGTGCTTCTCTTTTACAGTTACTTCAAAATAAATTAATGTAGGCAAAAATTGCGCGAATTAACATATTCAAATTCTTCTTTCCATGCGAAATTTGTGCATTCTGTAATATCAAGTGAAAACAATTTTATCAGGCATTTGATCAATTCAACAGTGATTGGTAACTTAAAACAGGAAAAAAGTTTTAAGAAGAAAAACGAATCAGTGGGATTAGCTACTAAACAAACTGAAAAATCATCAATGACCAAAAACAATCCACGTATATGTAGTGACGGTTCAGTTCTAATTTCTAGTTATAGCAAAAAGACTTGAAAGTAGTCATCCATATGAACAGATACAAATGACGAAAAAGGGAGAAAAATGTAATCATCAAGCTGCAGCAGCTTCCTCTTTGAGCAACATCTGATCAAAGTGCCAAACACCTGAAAGACCATAGAAAAAGCCACAAAATTAATCACAAAATATCTTTGAAAAAGGACATGTAAAGAAAACTCTGAAAGGAAAATAAGATGCATGAAGCAATAAATTGAAATTCTCACCATGTCCTTTGCCAACTCTTCTAAGCTGAGCAACATACTCGGATATTTTTTTGATGGCTTCAACCTGGAAAGACAATAATTAAAGAGCGGAATTTGAATGGATTAAGCTTCCTTGTAGTCTTTTGCTAAATGCAATGTGTCACACAATTGTACAATCCCTTACACTGAAAAATAAATATGGTGAGTTGCAAAAGTGAACTTAGGCATACCTGTTCACCCAAAAACTGACTTTCCACAAAGTCTGCCAACTGCACATCACCATTTTTTGAGGCAACCTGATGAAAAAATGTACATAAAGTTAAAAGAGAGGAATTTATATTTTATCAATTTTCATGTCAAAGTGAATGGAAAAATTATACAAACCACAATCAGTAAATCAGAAACCAAAATTTTAACCCAATAAACATGTCTTACACTGTGCAGGTTAAGAAGTTTTTCATTTGTTAACTTCTCCAATGACAGTGCTAGTTCCATTGCTGCAATAAAGGAAAATATGTTCAATTCTAATAAACTGAGAATGTATGTGAGCAACAACTGTACAAATTTAACCTCCACATCTTGTGTTACTCATTAGAAGATAACCCTCCATAGTATATATCATTTTGGAAGCAAACATTAATTGTTCATCATAATTAGTAAACTGAGGGGCATAAAAAAGCATAAATGTAATCTTAAATCAGGATTCAATTTATTTTACAGAATATTTCAGAGGACAAGGCTACCCTTTTAATGACTATAGTAACAAAATCAGAACATGGTCACATTTAAAGGACGGTATCCAATTCCAAACTGGGGTGCCCTTTGGATATATCATAATTGTCATCTATGAGATCATGAAAATGATTTTTGAAATTACAAGGATTCTAGTTTGTTGAATTTCACAATCAACCATATCAGAATTGATTTTGCCACTAATTAAGTGTGATATATATCGAGGTAGGATTTTTGGTGTAATAAGTGACACCATTGGCAAGCTCAAGCTGACAAAAAGATGATTATGTAATGTGCTGAAAATTGTGTATTTTTAGATCTTGTTTTGTGAGTAAAATCATTCAAACACAAATCATTTTTCAGTTCAAACGCAATTATAATCAAATATGAGTAATGGTTCCATAAAATCAACTCTATTCAAAATCATGTTTATGTAACACTCATCCAGAACAACAATTCATTCGTTATCTTCAAAACTCAACACCAAAAAGTGCCATATTATCATAAGCAAATAATTTGATCCATAAACTCTACACATGTCACAATTCAAACTCACTTAAATTAAATGCAGGAATATGCAAAAGAAAGAAAGAAACCATTAAAACCAAAAAAAAGAAACTAACCATACAGCGCATCACCCTTATCAGCATGATCAAACTCAGACAACGGCATCACTATAGATTGCAACTTCACTTTTCCACCCCTCTTGTTCTAAAATCAAACAAAACAAACAATCAGAACTAAACATCACATGACAGCACCAAAAAGGCAAAAAACAAAAACATACAAAATCAGTAAACATAAATCACATTTGAATTAAAAATCAAATTTGAACAACAAAACTAAACAACTTTTAATTGGTTAACACATTCTGTACACATTGGTAACACAATTGCCATCATATATATCTCTTAAAGGTGTGTCCGTCATTGTTTGAAGCGGGCTTTGACACTTGAGATTAAGTTTAGTTTATTCATTTTTAAAATCATTACCGGTGTCGAAGTTAGTGTAGTTTTTCAACTTGTAATAAGTAAAAATAGAAAAACCTGATATTCCATCAATTTCTCAGCATGCTCTCTTTCCTCTTCACTCGAGTCTTTAAAAAACCTATAAACAAAATAAGATTCATCAACACCTAACAATAGTTTTCTAGCAAGAAAATTCTAAATAAAAAACTCAAAGAAATAAATTATCAATATCATCACTTACTTAGCAAGACCTCTTAGCGCAACATTATCTCTATCAAAATACGCATACATCGCATGGTAAACATACGAAACATTATACTCCACACTGTACAACAAAAATAAATCAAATCGTTCAGAAAAAGAAAAGAAAATGAGAGAGGAACGAAAACGAAAACGAAAACGAAAACGAAAACGAAAACGAAAACGAACTTGATCTGTTCATTAACAGCAGCTTCAGATTCAACTTGAAATTTATGGCGAGCAATAGAATCTTGTGGAACAATAGGAACAAGATCGAGTTCTTTTTTCACCTCTTCAAAAGGTTCAAACAATACACCTGTTAGAACACGGTCATTGCTAGAGCCTTTGGTAGCAGAAACAGAGAATTGGTTCGATTTGCTTCCTCTGTGGAGAAACGTAAGCAAGCGCGCGTTTTGTGAGTTGAAGAGAGAAAGTGAGGAAGAGGAAGCGGTTACGGCGGTTTTGAGAAGCATGATTGGGGATTTTTGTAGGGATGGAAATGGAAAGAGAGAAATGAGAGAGAAATTGACGAAGAAGAAGAAGAAGGTGTTTCTATTTGGGGATGAGGAGTGTGGTGAATGTGTGTGTGAGAGTGATTTGAGATAAGGGTGGGATATTTTTGGATGATTGGAGATGTGGTGACCGTTGGATTTGGAGGTATGTGGAGGGTTTAGATGGGAGGGCGTGTGGCTTGCTCGTGTCGTGATTTAGTTGGGTATAAATGTCATTTGACCCACGAAATATCTAAATTCTTTTTTTGTATTGTTTTTACGTGGTGATTTTTAATCGTGTTATTTTGTGATTTTTTTTTGAAATATTAAGGTATTGGAAAAAAAAACATAAATAATTATATTTTAAAGAAAATTACGTAAATAATCATGTTTTGAAAAAGACTAACAAAGAGGGGACAAATGAGATGACACATTCATTTAAATTTGGCCTTAGGCGTCATTTCACATGACGTATGCAGTACCTTCAAGTCATGTGAGATGTCACATACATTCATTTTTAGGAGGAGACATCATCTCATCTGATTCATTCTTGTATGTGTGTTATCTATAAATAAGACTCCATTTCTCCACCATTCTTAACATTTTCTCACTATCTCTTCTCATTTCCTCCCAAATATTTTCACCATGACACCCGAGGTAATTTTCACAAGAGATGGATAAGTTTTTTCTCGGCTATCAAACCGCCGATTAAAATGAAATTTTGGCACATCTATTCAATGGAGCGTCTTAAGAGAGAGTTGAAGCGTTGGATAGACGGGGACATCGAAGATGGCGAACAAATTAGAAGAATCCAGAGAAGAAGAACAACCACCTCACTTGCAATTGGAAAATCTCACAGTTGGTTGGAGGAAGTCAAAATAGACAGAGACGTAATGGTGATGATGCATGGATCTGATAAAATTATTTTGACGGTTGTAATTTATTTGATATTTTGTCATGTTGTTGATGTTATTTTTATGTGGCGTATGTGTTGTTATTTTAGTCGCGATGTCATTTTATTTGTTGTTTGCGTATGGTTTGTTGTAACAAATGTTCTTAATGAAAAAAAATTTGTTTAGATCTTAAAAAAGTGCAGATAGTGTGTATACATTATTTATGTTGTCGAGCTAATAGCACGAGTGAGACAATTTTTTCGGTTGTGTTCGTCCAGGCGACATAAACCATACGATGGCAAAGAAAATCCTACGGGCAGGTTATTACTGGTCTACCATGGAAGCAGATTGCTATCAACACTCTCGAACCTGCCACAAGTGTCAGATTTACGCTGACAAGGTGCACGTACCTCCAGTTCCTCTGAATGTCTTGACGGCTCCTTGGCCCTTTGCTATGTGGGGCATCGATATGATTGGGAAAATCAAGCCAACAACCTCTAATGGACACCGCTTCATCTTAGTGGCCATTGACTATTTTACAAAGTGGGTTGAGGCGACTTCTTTCGCTTCTGTTACCAAGAATGTTGTCGCCCGATTCATCAAACAGAATATCATATGTCGGTATGGTATCCCGGAGAGGATCATCACAGACAATGGTACGAATCTAAACAATACTATGATCATCGCCCTGTGCGAACAATTCAAGATCCAACATCACAATTCTTCCCCTTACTGGCCGAAGATGAATGGTGTTGTCAAAGCCGCAAATAAGAACATCAAAAAGATCATACAGAAAATGACAGTCACATACAAAGACTGATATGAGATGCTACCATTCGCTCTCCAAGGTTACCGTACCACGACGCGCACATCAACCGGGGCAACACCCTATTCTCTGGTATACGACATGGAGGTTGTCTTGCCTATTGAGGTCCAGATCCCCTCTATGAGAATTATGAAGGATGCTAGGCTGAATGAAGAAGATTGAATCCAAACTCGTCTTGATCAATTAAACTTGATTGATGAGAAAAGGCTTACTACTGTCTATCATGGTCAGATGTATAAAAAACGGATGATCAAGGCTTTCAATAAAAAGGTCAGACGCCAAGTGTATCAAGTCGGGGATCTGGTGATCAAACGTATCATACTACCGCAGGGTGATCCCAGGGGCAAATGGACTCCTACATATGAAGGACCATTTGTAATCAAAAGCATATTCTCTGGTGGAGCAATGATCTTGGCCACCATGGATGGTGACGACCTGCCACACCCCGTGAACGCGGACATAATCAAAAGATATTACGTATAAGAGACCCACTAGGTTGACATACCTAGGCAAAACAAGGGTATCCTGGCGAACCAAAAGGTTCGGGAAAAAATTAGGGATAAAACAAAAAAAATCTGTACACCCGACAAACTGAAAACCTGAAAGGGCGGCTTGGGCAAAAAAGGGTATCCCGGTGGACTGAAAACCCAAAAGGGAGATCCAAGCAAAAGTTAGGGAATTAAAGCGTATTACTATGTCCCATTGGATCACCTTACGGACAACCTGCAAACTCGACGGTTCTGATCAATTCAATCAGCTTCGGACAAGGCAATAAATAGATAAGATGCTCAGAGACACGAAGGCTATAGTAGAATGAGAACCCCATGAGATTATTTCACATAACTATCTTTTCTTTGTATCAAATTTTCATTTTTTAAGACGACATTCTCTTACTAGAATGTTTGTCTCATTGTACAAAAATACTTACTCAAAGTCAATACAAAAATATCCCTTTGAAAGTGCAAAACTATATGTTTTTCTTTACTCTTGTGTTTTATTTACGAAAACGTTCAATGATTTATTTTTGAACATATGCATTTGAACGTAACTACCGTTCACAAATGAAAAAAATAGAAAGACAATCACTAATGGCTTTAAGAAATATGGAAATCTCTTTAAGCTATTTCCATAAAATCCCCTACAGTGTGCAGTTAATCCCCAGCGGAACAAAACTTCCAGTTATCACTCCACGGTAGAAGTCGCCAAATTTCTTAGGATTCCCCAACAGGTTTTTACAAGCAGTACACGACATTTCCGTTACAACAAGGTTTATTTCTCTAAGTGGAAATTCATCAACACTTCAAAACATGAAGACTTACACTCCGTATCCTCAGCAAGAAATCAGGGATTTATTTTCCCCAATCCAACAAGTAGTGTAGCAGATTAGCTCACATATGCATACATCGCATCCATATATCATAAACATCGATAACATGAATGCATGTATCACAGTCTCATTATACCATGCATTTCATACAATATGACATTACATATTAGCTAACATTTTACCCTTTTCAGGATAAGGTTAATCAATAGCTACCATTAACAATGTTCAAAGGCTTTTCAGATACAGTTCAGATACGCTCCAGACACGGATGTCATCCTGATACTCATTCAGATTCAACTTTCAAATACAGTTTCGACACGTTCCAGACACAGATGCCATCCTGATACTCAATCGGATTCAGCTTTCAGATACAGTTCAGATACGCTCCAGACACGGATGTCATCATGATACTCATTCAGATTCAGCTATCAGATACAATTCAGATACGCTCTAGACACAGATGCCATCCTGATACTCATTTGGATTCAGCTTTCAGATACGCTCCAGACACGAATGTCATCCTGATACTCATTCGGATTCAGCTTTCATATACAGTTCAGATACGCTCCAGACACGAATGCCATCGTGATACTCTTTCAGATTCAGCTCTCAGATACAATTCAGATACGCTCCAGATACGGATGCCATCCAGATACTCATTCAGATTCATCTCTCATATACAGTTCAGATACGCTCCAGATAAGGATGCCATTCTGATACTCATTCAGATTCAACTTCCAGATACAGTTCAGATACGCTCCAGACACGGACGCCATTCTGATACTCATTCAGCTTCAGCTTACAGATACGGTTCAACAATCATTTCTGGATGGCACCTACAAGCCAATCTCCAAAAAAATTCCATCATCCCTCCAAATGGCATCTTTAAGCCCATTCCCTATACCATCAACCTTCACATCACTGAGTGCAAATTTCTGAGCACTCTAATGTCCAATCATCTTCCACCTTCGAGTTACAAATGGTAAAACTCGCCAATCTAACTCTTCAGGCTTAAGAAGATTGAACAGGGGAAGCTATTGTATCCCAAAATTTTCTCTCTCACTTATCAAGAATTTTCTCACAAGATCTCCTTTGGCTCAAGACTGCACTAGGGTTGATAAGCTCAAGACACCTCCTTAAACACTGATGACCAAAATTAGGGTTTGCGATTGCACAAGGATATTTGAACTTCAAATGCCCCATATGACTTTCATGGATAATTATGGGCCCTCAAGATTACTCATGTCAAGTTTCAAGCTTTGGATCACATTTTTGCTCAGTCAATTGAGCAGTTGACCTAAAAATCAGTTGTATTGGGGAAAAAGTCAACTATGGCCAATTTACAGTCAAACTTCATAATTTTTGACCCACATCAACATTTTAAACTCATATGTATCATTTTATCAAGTTTGGACCATAATTCCTCAAGAAATTTGATCAAATCTTCAAAAGGGAAAAATGGTCAAAATTAGGGTTTTGACTGGGAAAGGGCAATTTCTGATTTTTGACCTAGCAAATGATAAATTGGTTTAAGGAATGATATCAATAGTCCAATTGCATCATTTTTACCTAATAACATAGCTCAAAACATTGCACAAGTCCAATGGATTGACAGATGAATTTTCAGTCAACTGATCAAAAGTCAAATGTATACTGAAAAGTCAAATATTGACTTTTTGGTCAAAATAAAATATCAAAGATCACAATTCATCAAGGCATGTAAAAATATGAAACTTATTCATCAAGAAATAAAAAATTCAAGGTTTCATTTTGAAAAGTTAAAATTTCTAAACTTATAAATTTTTCTTAGTGTTGGAAATTTCTTATTTTTTCACAACTTTGAGCAGAATTTTCACCATGATGCAAGATGATTCAAAAGAAACTTTCCACATGAAAGTTGTATACCTCCATTAAATCTACAACATTGCTTTACACA